ACAGCGGAAATTACAACCGCTTCCGCGATAAGCCATATAGATGTTCTCACCGTTGCATAAATGCCCACGATTGTGAAGTGATTTTAACAGAGTAAATGTCCGTGTTTGACGTACACCGCTGTGTGTGTGTGCCTCTCCAAACTCCACAACACGGGCAAGCCACTCGCCACCAGCCATGACACGTGGCGCTCCGCCACTACACACGTGGCCGCGACACTCGCTGCACTCACCCCCCTCACTCGGCACAGCCGCGAAACGCTCCCCCGTGGCCATCGGCCAGGCACCGGAGTGCAGCAGCAGCAGGACTTTGCTGCACTCACACACACACACAGAGTCCTGCTGCTACACACACACAGAGTCCTGCTGCTACACACACACTGTGTATGTAGTAGCAGGACTCTGCTGCACATACACACAGTCCTGCTGCTACACACACACACGTGTGGATGTGCAGCAGAGTCCTGCTACTACACACACCACGTGTGTATGTAGTAGCAGGACTCTGCTGCTGCTGCAGTCTCGAGACTTGAGGATTTCCCGGCTCTCGTCCGATTCGAGTCGAGAACGCGCCACTCTCACGACTCACGAGTGCTGCCGGCCGAGTCAACAACGAGGTGGTGGACTTAGTAAGAAGGACGTGTGTCGGTACCCGATGCTGAACTTCTTTCGCACCGTACGTAGCCAACCGTGCTAATCGGAGGTGCGGGGGAAGGACAACAAACTAAACACAAGAAGGCGGTTCTAAAGAAACGAGTCTTTGTTCATCTCCATGATTTAAAAGTGCCCAGCGCCGGTGGCTTCCTATCTGAAGAGCGTTCCAGGCGGCCGCATCAACATTCTCACCATCATGCAGGTACCTCCTCAACATCATCATCACCGCCATCGTGTGTGCAGGTAGAACTTCTATCGCACCGCACGGAGCCAACCTCGCCCATGAGAGGTGCGGGAAGGACAACAAGCGGAACAACAACAACAACAAGCAGCTTCAGCAGCAGCAGCGGGTCTCAAAGTTTTGTCAATTTAGGAGCTCCAGCGGTTCCCCCCAGGCCGTGAGGCCCTGGGGGCGGTGTGGGCTGCGGGGCACCCACTGAGCAGGGAGGCGACAATCTTCACATCAAGATTGAGGCGACAATCAGTCAAGACGTGACCCCTCTCCCTGTCCGCACGCCGACTCTTTACCCCCCACCCCCCAAGGATTAACGCTATTAACGTGTTTAAGCAAACAAGACTATCTCATTCTAGACTTGAAGCTTTCGTGACTGCAAGGATTCATATTCTTAGGTTTTTTCGGTAAAGTCACGTAGGTAAAACATCAAAATTAATAAAAAAAATTATTTTTTATTATTTTATTTTATTAATTTTGATGTTTTACCTACGTGACTTTACCGAAAAAACCTAAGAATAAGACTATCTCACTCATCTTAAGGCCAATGTAGACACATTGTTATCGAGGCTTCCCAGATGTTTCCTATGTGTACATTGCCAGTAGAAGACCCCCCCCATAGGCAAGCGAACGCGTTTGAGTCACCCCCCCCCCTCTATGCGAACTCAACTGAGGGCCCCCCACTTGACCATACTTCACCACGCTGGTCGGCGCGGTCTGGCGCAGGAAGCGGCGAGCGTGGAGGGGACCCCACGTCTCCCGCGGGGTTCAGGGCTCCGTGGGGGAGGCGCTCATCCAGCAGTGGAGTGGCGCGGGAGGCTTCTATAACCCACCTTTCTTAATGTTTCATTAAAGTTAATTGTTTATAAATATTCTAGATTTGAAGCTTTCGTGACTGCAAGGATTCATATGCTTAGGTTTTTTCGGTAAAGGCACGTAGGGTAGAACATTAAAATTAATAAAAGTAAAATAAAATAAAAATCACGTTTCGGAGGCAACACAAGTCTCCGTCATCAGGTGGGGACCGTCACAGCTACATTTACTTGAAAAATAATTGCCTCCGAACGTCGTGATTTTTATTTTATTTTATTAATTTAATGTTTTACCTACGTGACTTTACCGAAAAAACCTAAGAATATGTTTATAAATACATTCATATTCAGTCGTGTACAATTAAAGCCGATGTCTAAACGATATATGAACTTAATACAAAGGTATGGCTAATGTTAAGGAATACACTTTCAACATGAACGATTTCACACTATACGGTATTATTTAATGGGATACATTTTGACAATATGGTACATTTGTGGCTGAGTAGACCTAGACGGTCGCTTTGTACAGGCACTGCAAGTTGGTCGTTACAACGCTCACAGCATCGCCGCTCACCAAAACGAGACACACGAAGACACAAAACCAGAGCGGAATATCGAGAAAGTCGCAACGCCTCAGACACACTCACAGACACACACAGAGACACACTCAGACCACAGAGACACACTCAGACACACTCACAGACACACACAGAGACACACTCAGACCACACAGAGACACACTCAGACACACTCAGAGACACACTCACAGACTCAGACACACAGAGACACACAGAGACACAGAACTCAGACACACAGAGACACACTCAGACACACTCAGAGACACACACACAGAGACACACTCAGACACACTCAGAGACACAGACACACTCACAGACTCAGACACACAGAGACACACAGAGACACAGACTCAGACACACACAGAGACACACTCAGACTCACACACACATACACAAGTAGAGGCACTCACAGATACACACAGAGACGCACAGACTCAAGACACACTCAAGACACAGAGACAGACACGTAGACACACACAGAGACACACTCAAGACACGTAGAGACACACACACAGAGACACACACACAGACACATAGAGACAGACACAACGATCCCCTCTATCGCCTGATCAGACTGCAGGGGCAAGTGCTGCTAGGGAGCGCCTAGAAAGGCCGGCACGGCACACGAGGGGGTGGGTGCCCAGTGCCACACCAAGCCGCCTTTGTCTCCCCAGCGGCGATGTTTACTACACACCGCACCAGGTACTCATTTGAGGCCGAGTCGACCTAGGGAGGCCCAGGACCGGTTCATACAATCGGCCCCCATAGCGACGGTGAACGCGGGCCGCGCGTGACGTCACGGGGCCGCGCGTGACGTCACGGGGCCGCGCGTGACGTCACGTGACCACGCGTCACCGGAAGTCGCGAAAGGGGGCGGGAACCAATCGGAATCTCGGACTGTGACGTCACTGTGACGCATCAGACCGACATCCGGTTTCGTGGCTCGTGCGCTCAGAGTTGGAGAGACGCGTGGAGACGACGGAGACCGAAGGCAGCAGCTGGAGCCACTCCGAGCGACACTCTGAACAGGTGAGAGCGGCAGAGTTGTGACGAGCTCGACGTGTTACACGCGGCAGCTTGATGTGCTCACGATGTGAGTCACGATCTCGGTTTGTACCGATGGTGTGGCTCTGTTGTTGATGCGAGTCCGTGCTGATGATGTGGGTCTGTGGTGATTATTTGGGTCTGTTTAATGATGTGGATTCGTGTTGATGATGTGGGTCTGTTGTTGATATGAGTTGGTGATAATAATGCGAAGTCTGTGTTCATGTCGGGTTTATAACTGATGGTGTGGGTCTGTGTTGATGCGAGTCCGTGTTGATGATGTGGGTCTGTGGTGATGATGTTAGTCCGTGTTGATCGTCTCGGTTTGTACTGATGGTGTGGGTCTGTGTTGATGTGTGTTGATTATGTGGGTCTGTTCGATGTGGGTTTGTGTTATGCGAGTTCGTGTTGATGATGTATCTGCCGTGTTGACGATGTGCGTACGTGTTGGGGCTGTGGTTAAGTCAGGGGACAGAGACGGGGGAACATAGAAGTGCGGTACAATTAAGGATTTTGCTGCACTGCCGCACCCTCACTCATCCCACTCACCCCTCATCCCACCTCCAGTGGCAGCTATCTCTCTAGGGAACAAGGTGGCTCAGCAGTCGGCCTGCAAGTGGCCATTAGTCTGCCAGCTGAGGGCGATGTGCAATCCCAATTGATTAAAAAAACTGTTCACGATTTCGAGATGTAAATCACATGGTGAGTAACGATCTCGTCCCACATCCTAGACTGTGCTTGACCCTACTACACTCGTCTCCCGCTTTCCTCACGGAGACCCAGACGGTGCGAGACGCAAGACACTCCGGTATTCCTGCTCTACCCGTCACCAACATGGAGGTACGGGCTCGACTCGCGTGGTGAAGTATGGGCGAACATGTGATTCACATGCCTGTGTTCTCCACTCTCTATCCGCGTACCTACTCCTCACCATTTCTACCTTGGTGTGTGTCTGCCTGCCTGCCTGTGTATCTGAGCGTTTAACACGTAGCCTTTTGTGACCAAGGGGCCGTCCATAAATGACGTCACGCACCTGGGGGGGGGGGTGGGTGTCAGACATTTGTGACGATGTGTGACGAGGGGGGGGGGGTATGAGAAATGTGACGTCACATCAAAATGCGCAACTTTAAATAAATATAAACAACACGTTCTACTTAATTAAACAGACTTTTTAATAAATGTTTCTCCTACAACATCAGAGTGTACGCGCCACATTAAATACGCACTACAATAGTTCAAAGCGATATGAAGCATGTTTTATTTTAGGGGGGGGCAGAGCTTTGTGACGTCATATTTGAGGGGGGGGGGTCTGACTTTTTGTGACGCCGTGTGATGAGGGGGGGGGGGGGGGGAAAAAATCGTCCAAAATCGCGTGATGTCATTTATGGATGGCCCCCAATATCCATAACAGGTTTTTTTAGTTAGATCGCATAAATATGTGTCGTTAAATCCGCCACCACCAGACAGCCAATTAGTAAGGTTTGTCACATAAACAGAACATGCCAATTCGTTACTAGTACAGCACACTGGTGTGTTGGAGAGCAAAGCCACAACATTTACAATCCGAGTATGACGTTTCGCCAGTAATTACAACTAGCTTCATCAAGCAACAGCCAGATTTGTGGCTGCATTTGCCCCAACAGTTTGTTACAGTCTATATTGTGGAATTTTGTCTGTGTGTGTAGATGAGCCGATATATAGTGAGAAAAAGAAAATGCGTGAGATGGAGTGCGCTCTCAGACTCAAAAGGAGCAGCCCCCATCAAGTGCAAAACCCCGCAAGGTAATAAAAATAATGGAGGACATCACATCAGCCATGTCGCATGGGGGACATCAAGGCGGCCAAGTTGCATGGGCACTTGATTTTGCTTTCAGCTGATTGGCTGTGCAATGGAAGTGATGATGTAATACCTAGCAACCATTCTTATAGAAGTGAGTTACCATTTTACTGCAACTCCCATATTTACTTTAGTCTGTTTTCTCCTTCGATGTCTGCCAGACTTACGACAAAATAATTATCTTCTTCCCTTTGGCCCAACGTGCACATTCATATGGCGTCTAAACTTTGGGCGGCAGGCTGGTAACATTTGTGTCTCACAGTAAGAATATCCTGGCTTTGATTCCCGACTCAGGTGCTTTTGCTTGTGGAGTCTGTATGTCCTCCACCTGTTCTGCATGGGTTTCCTCAAGGGTATCCACTTTTCTCGCGTGAAAAAACTGTTAGGAGTCAAACATCCCAAGACTAAAACAATTGTCTGACATTATCCAGTTGGGATTACACCATTACCCCCTATTGTAATAATTCGGCAATAACCTCTTTAAAAAGATTATTGAGACTCAGCAAGGCTGTCCTTGGTGAATCTGCTTCTGTTCCTCCCTTAAAACCCATCTCCTCTTCTCCCTTGCCCACACTTCTGCTACTCCCTGCCCTCACCCCCAGCTACGACCAGGCCTAGCTCAACCCCTATCACCACCCCTACTGCTCCTCCCCAACCCTGATACCCAACTAAGACCAGGCCTACGCAAAACCCCTCCTTTACCTTTCCCTCCTGTTCTGTCACCATAACGACACCACCACTTTTAATAACCCCACTCTTTATCTCAACTACCATCATCTTATGTGCAATGTTATAATTGCTGTAATGCACCTTGTAATAAGGCGTGATATAAATCTCACATAGGAAACAAAGGTAGTAATAATGGTTTATACATTTTTATCATTTCTGCAGAAATCATGCAGCTCTACGGCAGCTACCTGACCCTCAGGGAGCAAAGAGAACTCTTGGCCATGCAGGAGATATGGTACCTTGGGCTCCAAAATCAGGCCCGGGGCAAGTACAACCATGGCTACGATGACGACCAACACCGTTATATTCCGGTAAGACTCACGACAAAATACCTGCCTTGCCGGATGCGGCAGGCCACCCTGGTTATTACTTCGGGTGTCATTATCGTCGTCATCACATTCAACATAATCAACCACAGTGTTTACATCACAGGATCATTGAAAGAAGCGTTATCGTGCACACCATCATCATCCACAATGTCATCACACACGGTGTTGTCACGCACGATATAACTGGTATCCAAAAATCTCAATGCTGAAAAAAAAACCTGCATACATGCAGTCGGTATTTCATGTTGTCTGCCGGGCCAAGTCGCCCTTGAAAACAGTTTCTTCACTCAATGGGCTTTAAACTTGATTTTGAAGCTTTTGTGACTGCAAGATAGAGGGCGACCGAAATTCGGTTTCGGTTTCGGCGCCGAAAGTTGGCAATTGGCCACTTTAGGCATACTTTCGGTTTCGGCCGAAAGTAAATTTTTAACTTTCTGTCTGGTTTCGGTTTCGGCCAAAACTGATATTGACTTTCGGTCGTCAACTAAAGATCTATTTTTAGAATATAACGCTAGTGATAAGTCTATCAGCCGGTCAGTCGGGGATCCTTGTCTTAGTCTGTGTGTGTGTGGGTTGGGGCATCGACTGCGTAGCGATTCGCGCGCTGCGCTACGAACCCGGCGGCCCGAGTTCAATTCCCGCTCACGGCCGGTGACGATTATTTGAACCGGTCCTGGGCCTCCCCTAGGTCGACTCAGCCTCAAATGAGTAAGTGGTGTGGTATGTAAACATCGCCACTAGGGAGACAAAGGCGGCCGGCCGTGGTGAATCCAAGTCCCGGGCGAAGCCGGGTAGTAAAGCTAGTACAGTATTTCATAAATCTTGTGTTCGGTAACTTTCGGTTATATACCTTTCTGTTTCGGTTTCGGTCGAAAGTAAATTTTTACTCTCGGTCTGGTTTCTGTTTCAGCCGAAACCAGAAATTCAGTTTCGGTCGGCCTCTACTGCAGGAATTACTCTTTGGTTCTTTCGGTAAAGTCACGTAGATATAAATAAAAGAAATAATAGAATAAATATAAGTTTGAGGAAAACAAACCTAGTAAAATTAGAAATGTAATGCAGTGCAACACAGAGAATTGGCTAACACAGCAGTTAACACATTACCTGGTTGATTACGTTCTTACAAAGATTGCTAATGGGCTTTACTCGTGAAATAACACTTTTGATTCAGATAGTAGCATTGCCATGACTTTTTCAGGACGGTTTCTGACAATTTCTCGCAGCGTTCAGCGTGGTTGCCGTGTGTAATACCAATTGAGCAATTTGGAGGTAAGTTTTCAGCATTGGGATGTTTGGTCATCACCAGTTACATTGTGAGTGTGTATTAGCTATGGGCGGACACCAGAGAACCAGGAGGAAAGTCATGCAGAACAGGGGAAGCAGCATACAAACTCTACACACTCCTAATTTGCTAAGGAGGGGTAGAACATACCATCTCCACACAAAAAGGGACTAAGCTGGGAATTTAACCCCCAGGCCCTTCTTGCTGTTTTCCACAAGTGTGTGCAACAAGGTATCTAGCACAGCAGACAAGCCTACGAGTCTTGTTTTTACCCTTCAAATAGGACTGACAAAGCGAGGCTAATTCTATAGCTGGTGCTCTCTCTCACTCCCATGGATTAAGTCTCTTTATGTTCATATTCTTTGGGTCTTTAGGTAAAGTCTCGTAGATAGAACAATAAAATAAAGAGCCAAAGAATATGAATTCCTGCAGTCACGAAGCTTTAAGTCAAGATCTCTTCATGTTGTCTTACGAGCACTCAATTAGCAGTGATTGAATGAGACTCGATTGAATCGGCACTTAACCACTGTGTGATTGTTGCGCAGGTAAAACACGAGCACCTCAACTTTCGGTATGAGGTGCTGAAGACGATTGGGGAGGGCGGTCAAGGCATAGTGTCGAGTGTCTTGACCACATGACAAACACCCTGGTGGCGGTGAAAATACTCAGAACTCCATTGAGGTAAGACTCCACACTACTGCATACTGTGTCTGTGAAACACAGCACCTCTCTCCACAATCCGCCTGTGCTACGAGAGCCATATTCAGTCAGGGCTCTAGCCGGCTCTAGTTGTGACTATGAATATTAATTGGCCAAAACATCTTTACGTAAAAAGGATTTCAGAGCTTGGAAATTGTTTGGCACCGGTTCACTCCCTGGCTGCCTTCCCACTTGTATGTGGATCCTCATGCATCTCAATAGTTCTCTCTCTTTGAGAGTGAGCCAAAAGTGTGCATGGTATTATAAGTCTAAATTATGATTGATGATATTAAATTGTGACTCTCTTGCAGCGCCATGAATAACAATTTCCAGTTGAGGGAAATACAAATCGGGATCATACTTCAGGAGAGTGACACCGACGACTCCAACATCATCAAGATGCTGGATTGGTTCCAGTTCAGGAAGCACTACACCATCGTCTTGGAGCTGTTGAGGTGCGTGCCAAGTGTCACTTGCATTGATGTGCTCTTGCGACCATTTGTCGTCGTAAAATTGTGGAGCTGCCATGAGTCTTGGAGGCTCAACTGGGACACATGTTGAGCTGGCAGCCATTCGCTTTTCTCGACCAGCCCCGCCAAATTTGACATAGCATGCCCCCTCAATCAGCAGTGATGGCAGCGCAGTGGTAACACCTGCGTCTCACAGCAACAAGGCCGAGGGGCTGACTGCCAACCGATGCGCCTATAGGCGTGCAGTTTGTATGTTTCTTCCACTGCTGTACCGAGTGTTCATGATTGTGTGTGTTGAGTGAGTTAGTACGTGTGTAAGGGAGGGAGGAGGTGAGTGTGAAATGTGTATATTCTCTCCCTGTTCTGCATGGGTTTCCTGTTGGGTTCTCGGCTTTTCTTCAACATTTTGGTGGCAAAATTTTAACGACCCTCGCTCGGCATACAGGAAGTTGTGGGTTCGATCCAGAGCCTCGATATTTGGCGTGTGCACGTTCTCCCCATGGTCACGTGGATTTTTACCTGGGTTCTCCGGTTTTTCCCTCCACATTTAAAAACAAGTGTTTAGAGATTTTGGCTGCTCTGAATTTCCCCATGATAAGCCACTTTGTGAGGTATCATTTGCGGACAGATCGCTTCTGAAAAAGCGCTATACAGCTCAGTGGGCCTCACCTGGTAAAATAAAAAGTTTATAGTTTCTAATAAATTCCCAATTTGACTGTGCTTGGTCAAGCATACCAATACTGAAAACTACCGAAAAATTACCCAATTAGAATAACACACAGAAGCAAAATCGCCCCCTCTGCTGCGAAAAACTTCGTAGGACCCTCTTGAAAAAAGTCTTGAGGATGTCTGGGTAAACGAGCGTAATAATCCATTGTTATATGAACCAGAACCCACAGAATGACACTGACTTTGTATTGTTGCCCTCTTTTCACAGTGGACTCTGGATGATTGGATTGGTAACAGGAAATCCAAGTCCCTTCGGATGGATGATGGTGAAAATATACACCAAGGCGATCCTCACGTCCCTGCGTCACATCCATTCGAAGACAATCATTCACGGTGACCTCAAGCCTGTGAGTGGACAGAGCTTCACTGTAAACCTTTGTTGTTTTTGGAGACTAACCCTGGAGAAAGCCCCAGCCACATTGAGCAACGGGTTTTAATGCATTCTAGATTTGAAGCTTTCGTGACTGCAAGGATTCAACTTCAAGGACAGTGCACATTATCAGAGTTATGTCTTTTGTTTGTATTCATGACTGCAGGTATTGCGGTCTATGCAAACATGACTCCTTGTAAAAAGGTGTCAGTTTTGTTGCCAGATAGAAGGGTAAAGAACCAATTATCATATTTTTACTGGTAAATGAGGTCCCCATAGTGTAGATGTTTGCCCCGAGCTCTCATACTCTGATGGTGCATTGTCTTTGAGTTGTGCGCCTTTTGGTGTCTTCTGGTCCAACCCATGTGAGACTAGGCTCTAAGGAAAGCTGTCTCGGGTGTGGACCAATCAACTTCAAGGACAGTGCACATTATCAGAGTTATGTCTTTTGTTTGTATTCATGACTGCAGGTATTGCGGTCTATGCAAACATGACTCCTTGTAAAAAGTGTCAGTTTTGTTGCCAGATAGAAGGGTAAAGAACCAATTATCATATTTTTACTGGTAAATGAGGTCCCCATAGTGTAGATGTTTGCCCCGAGCTCTCATACTCTGATGGTGCATTGTCTTTGAGTTGTGCGCCTTTTGGTGTCTTCTGGTCCAACCCATGTGAGACTAGGCTCTAAGGAAAGCTGTCTCGGGTGTGGACCAATCAACTTCAAGGACAGTGCACATTATCAGAGTTATGTCTTTTGTTTGTATTCATGACTGCAGGTATTGCGGTCTATGCAAACATGACTCCTTGTAAAAAGGTGTCAGTTTTGTTGCCAGATAGAAGGGTAAAGAACCAATTATCAGGATTCATACTCTTAGTTCTTTTGGTAAAGTCACGTAGGTAAAAAATGAAATTAAAATTAATTTATTCTTGTTTATTTTTATTAATTTTAATTTCATTTTTTACCTACGTGACTTTACCGAAAGAACTAAGAGTATTTAATGCATTCGCTTTGTTCACCTGTTTGGGATGGGCGGGGGGCACGGTAACACTGGTAAAGATCATCCAATGTGAAGTAGACTTTGCCAAAAGTTGTGTTGCTATGAGCGGCCTGCCTGAGAGAAACAAAAAAACTCAGATACTAATCAGGACAAAAAAGCACTCCAGTAATATCCTGATTTATGTCTTCCCCTTTTACGTTGTTTTGATAATCGTCGCCCCTTTCAGGAACGCATCCCCGACATAAACTGGGGTATTACTGTTTTCAAATGTACAAACAAATTTTAGAATCAGAATCAAAAGTAAATTTCCCAATTAAAGTGCATTGAGGTAAGCTCGTTTTCAAGGGCGACTCATCAGCTTACAAATTGCTCACAAAATTCTTGCCAAGACAAATGCGTGGTGGAAAGTGTTACCGAATCCATGTGTGTGCATGGTTTTTCCTAACTCGCATGCACTAGCAGCTATACGCTTCATTAGGGTCTCTCTTTCCACGCAATGAGCAACTTACATCGCATCATCTCACTTCCAGTGGCAGCTGTCAGGAAACATATCCTAATATCGCTGCGACTAACCTTTTTGACAGTCACCTCGTCTGACTCCCTTTTTAATATATACTTGCGTATTTTGGTACATGCTCAATGGACTGCTGGCTGAATGCTGTTATCACCTCTGTGAATCCCTTCTTCTGTTCTTCATCTAGGAAAACATCTTGGTCAAGGACCGCGTGGCAGGGACCATAAAGGTCGCCGACTTTGGACACAGCTTCGTTGAGGGTTATCCAAGTGAGTGACCTCACCCGGGTGAGGGAGTGAGATTGCTCGTAGCGGTTAGCGCTCTGTGCTACGGACCCGGCGATTATCTGAACTGCTCCTGGGCCTCCCCTAAGTCAACTCAGTCTCAAATGAATACCTGGTGCGAAGTGTAAAGATCACCACTGGGGAGGCCAAGGCGGTAGGGCGTGGTGCTGGCCACCCACCCCTCGTGTATCGCGCCGGCCTTCATAAGTGCTTGCTAATAGCACTTGTCCCAAAAGCTTGTCACACTTGTGTCTGTGTGTATGCACACACGTGTGTGTATGCTCAGTCTCAAATGAATATCTGGTGTGTATGCACACACGTGTGTACATGTGACTGTGTGGAGGTGATGACTTGCGTGTGATGATGCTGTTAAAGGTGATTTGGGGGTCTTTGTCTTTGTGAATCACAGCCTCCTTGACCTTCAGTACCGTCAAGCACATGTCTCCGGAGGGAATCTTGGGCTACTCGTCCACCAACTCGGTCGACATGTGGGCTCTGGGATGCACGGTGGCGAAGATAGCAACCGGAAAATCCATCTTCGAACCCATCAACTTCTACGACCAGTTGGGGTGCTGCATGGAGGTACTGCCCAACAGCAGCACTTCGCTCGTGATTCACAAAACATTCTTGGCCACGTCACGATCTGGCCACATTTTTGCCACCCGCCTGCTGACGCAGCCATAAGAAGTAAATGGTCATCCGTGCAAGCACTCAAAGCGCCACTTGTAGTTTAAGCTCACCCACCACCAGTAAGTTGAAGAGCAATTCTCTAAATTAAGTCTAGTAATGAGATACATTTCCCTTGAAGCTACATCCAGCACATATGCAGGACCATAACTGTGTGCACACAATGGCCTACTCTTTTCGAATAACGTCATGGGATCTTCAACGTCTACTGCGAATGTAGCAGACGGCACGTACAAATTTACGGTTTGTACACATCGCAAGTAAAAATTGGGCGGCCAAATCTGAACCAGGAAACTCTGCAACGGGAGGCAGATGTGCAACTGCTGGGCCATGCCACAACCACGACCCTGCACCTGTGGGTGAACCGTGGGGAGTAGTGGCGGAGTGGTTAGCGCATCGAGCTACGAACCTGGTGACCCGAGTTGGATTTCTGCTTACTGGCAACATTTTTAACAAATACCTGAACTGGACACAGGCCGAAAGCGTTAAATGAGCACCTGGCACTTGGCGCTATGGGGCCAATCCCCTAGTGTGCTGCGCCGGCCTTAATCGGTGCTCACTAACAGTACTCGCTACAACAGTCGGTTGCGTTTATATGAAGGAACTTTGTTGTTGTGTGAACCGTGTGTAGGTCCTGGGGCTGCCTCCGGACTACTTGGTGAATAACGCTCCTAAAAGAAAGAAATACTTTGGTAAGTTGAAGGGACAAGCTCACTGGAATACGTTTTACGAGCCAACTGTTATTGTTTCAGCTCGACCACCGATAAATTCTTGAATGTCGATTTTCACAACCGACTTTCACCATTAAGCATCAGGAGAGATCCAGGAAATCAGCCTGAAAATCTTGTACACGTGG